GCCAACAATTTCGACGTTTAAACGTCGAATAAACGTTTAATGAATGAATGTGTCGATATCACGCATCCAATCACAAGCACTATAACAGATATGGATAACGCATCGGTTAACGTATTAAATTTTGATAGTCCAAAAAAATAACTAAGTTCAGGATGTTTTGCTTGTCGTGTCATTCAGTCAAACTATCACTGATATGAATTTTTTTCATTTTAATTATAAAAGTAAAATTGATAAGCTATCGATAAGCCGTGAGTGAATATTCTTCGCAAATTGTCTATTATATCAATCGCGCCCGGTCGAAATAATTCCTAATAATTGTAAAAATCAGTTTACAGGACAATGTTATAAATATTGTTGTAGATGCCAGATGCTTATAAATCGTAATCATCTTTTATGAAAATGTGACAATCAAATGAACTTCTTTTTTATCAGATTCCATCTATTCTGTCAATAAAGCTAAGACGCTAAGAAACTATTTATACTTTTATTCAAATTATCTTTGCAATAACAACGATAACTTGCCTTCTTTTAACATTTTACGATCGGCAAAGTTTAAAACGAGAGTTTTATAGGACTCCACGCTTTTATCAAGACACTTCAGCGCGAATATTAATTTTCGAAAATACGAGTTTCAAATGAGACAGAAAATAAGTCTGACACGAATTATTCTGATTTTTAGCGACATATATAATCTAATTTATCGTTAATATAAAACATCGATATATGTGTAAGTTGTGTATGATATAATATCTATCATATAAACCTTCGTATCGAGAGATTGACTTCTAAAAATTAAAAATTCATATGCACGAGACGGAACGCTATTAACAATGTTTGGCTGTTTCTCTTTCTTATCACGATGAGCTAAAGAATAAATTATAATAAAGATAACGAAGATGATATGGATGTACTTAATTTCGTACAATTATAGTTGCTCAATAATTCCCATAATTGTTATCATGCCAATTAATCTTATACGGTTATAAGTAGCAATATAAAAACTTTTAAGAACTTGACGTATAATATTCGAACAATATATTTTTTTCCTGGCAAATAATTTATTGCGCTGCAATATGCTATAATCACCATTGATTGTGTAATGCGTGTAATTTCAACTTTCGATTTTCCCGATACAATTACCTAGAATTATTAGATTGGTTATTGCATTATCTCGAACTCTAAAAGGTTACTTTATTCATAGATATATTTAAACATGTCTCTATTTTTGCGTTACGTAGCAAGGACAAAGGTATCATAATAAAGAAGTAGAATACCTTCGAACCGGATTAGTGACACGGATTATGTCGTTAATCGATCTCGCTGATGCACGGAAATGCAACGAGCGGATAATCAGTAAACCTGTTATCATGATAATGTTAGATCTACGCGATGGCCGCGTTCAAGCATCGTTGACTGCGAACGTTTCGATAAGGGGTTAACGGGACGTCGAAAGTCAAAATTACATGCACTTGCATTTGACGGTGCTCATGATCACATGTTAAATTACTACCTATTGGAGAAAAAAATGTCGATCAAAGTAACAGGTACGTTTCTTGAAGACGAAAAAAGAATTTGGTTGGACTAACTAAATGTCTGATGAAATATGAACAAACCAGAATTCCGGTTGAAGTTACTAGAATTCTGTTCAAATAAATAAGATTCTGGTTAATAAATTGTGATTTGTTCATATTTCACCTGATATTTGAAACAATCTTTTTTTATCGCTTGGCTTCGAATCCTTTAACTTTTAATCGTGCACAATTAAACGAAACTTTGATATACTAGTTTCGTTGATGGAAATAATCCTGAGTTGTGCATCGAATTGTACGCGTCCATTAAACGGACAGGTTCATTATATCAACCTCAGGAATGCATTAGCTTTCTTGTCACTCTCACAAAGATTTATATGCACATAACGAAAGCTCATATTTCTTATCGAAGAATAAGCTTAATGTTAAATTACGTAGGTGGTTTACATGCATTAATAAAAATATACCCATTCAAGGTGCCGGAAAGTTTGCGGCCAAGAGCCGGCACCATTTCGCCAGTTGATTTATTTGAGTTCCGTAACCTTGTGAGCGCGCAAGGCGTCGGGAACCGGTAGAATACGCAAATTCATATATTTGTAAATTCGACACATTCGTATCGATAGCCACACAGGAATAACAAATACAACAATCTATCAGAATCACATGTATCGCGTGAAGTATTTCCTATCTGATGTAAATCACAATGCTAATACATGTGTGATGCGTAAATAGTGCTTCTATTATGTCTGTCATAAGCTACAGATTTGTTTTTTCTTCCTATGCTTCCAGATATTAAGAGCACTTCGGAAGTCACAATCTTAATCGATGTAATAAATTGACGGGATTTGTTCCGTTAATCGGCGATACAAGATAATAGATTGTGTAAAATAGATGCAAAACAATAAGATTCATTAAAAAAGAAAAGAAAAAAGTGACTTTTCGAAATAAAAAATTAAATATTAGCTTATTTAAATTAGCCCATCGCAAATCTTGATGCGTTATGGTAATTGCTTTAAAGTTTGCAGTCATCAAACTTTATTACTATTCTATACGTATGTGCGTTTTTTGATCTATTGGTAGCTCTTCTTCACAATAAGATTCATCATATTGCAACTCTATAAACATCTAAACAACTTTTGAACCAACAAAAGTTTACTCATTATAACATTAATTTATAACATAATAAATGTAATTATTAATAAATAATAAAATGTAATTATAATAAATAATATCAGAGAGAATATGAAATTATAAAAAACTTGGGATATAGTTATATAACATTCTTATACATTTGTTCTTGTAAAATCAATATTTAAGAGACCTGCAGGAAGAGTTAGTCACAAACATTTCCGAATAACAGTGACTAACAATGATGCTGGTTACCAGAAGAATATCCCAGAATTTTGGCAAAGAAAAAAGAATACGAGGCGAGCAACAAGTTATAATCAAATCGAAGGTTAAATAAAACGCTAGTTAAAGCCGGAGTCACCATCATGCTTTTATCGGGATTCCCGTGGCACGCCAAGGCGCTGATGAATCGACTCACGACTATCTGCGATGACTGATACTGATGACTGATATTGGATCGTGCAAATGAAGCAATGGCAATACACAGAATTCGTTGTATGTGTTTCAACGATGTCGAACCGCACGAACTTACAAGAGCGAGAACGCTCAAGGACACGCAGACGAATTCTACTTGTGTTATTTGCAATCGAAGCACCTGACACCAGCGCGGCGAAACATGTAATACCTATATCAATCGTTTTTGTGGCGAATTTAAACGTAATTAGTCTAATCGGTCCTGTCTTAGCAGTTAGTAATTTTTTCTTTTCTAACGAGTACCTTCGGGAGAATTGTTTTTTTCCTGTGGAAAACGCGAGTACGCGGAAATGTAGGTTTTAATACGTATCCAATACTTGTTCGCTGCGAGTGATCGATCTAAATTACTTAATAAATGCTATCATAAAGTTACGAACGCTACAGACATGAAATTACGAATAGGTAGAATTTCCTAGAAAACGGCGGCAGCAACGGTAGCGACGATAAAAATATTGCGTATAATGTGCAATATGGTCATCGCGGACTATTAGACGATCTGGAGCATGAATATATTAACTACGTTGATAGATATTAAAACGGATAACAACAGATGTCCTGTCGCGCGTGCTGACTGACAAATATGACGCTATTTTATTTTAATGCACGGAAAAAAAGAACATTCTTGTTTCAAAAGTATCTTCATTTTTTACATGTAAATCTTAAAATGAGTTGTAACGTTATAAGCAAAGATGAGTTACTTGCATCAACATATTTTATATGTACGTAATTCAACAAAGAAAAATATATTCTTATTATTCAAAGATAGTTTTTATGAATAGAAAATGTAAAATATTGGATTAAAAGTATGAATATTTTTAAATGTCGAAAGAAAAAAAAAAAAAAAGATATCGTTATTGTCAAAATCATTATATTATATTTCTTTTATGAGACTATTATAATATATAAATAAAATAATAACATCGCATTGAAATTCAAAACTCTATAAAGTTCTTCTAACAAAATTATATATCTTTACTTAAACAATTATTGTTAATTTAAATATATATTTGAGTATTTTAAGTAGATACTCTAATCTGTTTTCTATTATTTAATTCTCGTTTTTATTCTCGCGATTAATTAATTCTCGTTGATAAAGTCACGGACGCGAGCATAACCAAATTTAAATACAATTTAAATACAATTCAAACTTGACTCCTCTTTTATATACTATCCAAAAAAATGTTGTTCTTCCAATTGTCGAAAAAAAAGTTTCATATCGTCTCCATGAAAAACAGAGATTCCATTAAATTAAAAAAGAACAACTTCTGCTTTTACATTTAAATCATATTAAAAAAACAGTTTTCGAAATAAAAACAACAGACAGTAGTGTGATAATTTCTTGATCGTCTCGGGCGATACTCCTTTATTTACGACAGGACAACAGACGTAAAATAAAATCGATCCGCGATTCTTTCATGATGTCCGCATTCTTAAAAATAAAATAAATTCTAGCAAGGTCACGTGTGACCGCAACATGTGTGGTCAGTAACGCGGACCGAAGTAAACGTCTCGCTACTAGCTGCGCGACCCTGTCGTCACTCGAAATAAGGTCGGCCATCTCGACAGCTATCGCGAGACACAATCGCGGTAGAACACCGCGAAGGGTTAATTACCGTCTCGCCCTGAAAACGCGACCGCCGTTTGTCAACGAATGTTCAAGTGTTGGGCGACCTTCGGAGTCGGCTCCGGTCGGGGAAGTGGCTGATCTCGAAAGAGTGGATTATGCAGGACAGATACTGGACGTCCTGCACTTCGCAAGTGGGATGGCAACCTCATGAACCGATTGGCTAACGTTCCACGTGCTCGTCGACTGACCGACCGGCGAGCCGGCGAGCTGACCACCATGGTGGGAGTATTGTATTTTTCAAATCCCGCCGATCCTAGTTTCCGTCACTCTTGCACCGATGCGCATACTGCACGCACGAGGAGCCAAGCGACGTATGGCAGGTGCGAGGGTAATCGATAAAAGCTCGACAATCGGGTAAAAATTCAACAGAGTGTGACGCAACTTGCCGAGCTAATAGGTGTTCAGTTCTGCAAAGAGTATCCGCTGAAGAACAAGATCGTCACTGCGTGAGAGCCGTGACGCGCGTTTCTCACGTATCGCCCGATCCAAAGTTCATTGCTTCAACGTTTCGACAGTATTCAGTACTGGAAAACCGATCGGGTTGTGTCGTGTCCACGAGGAGGTATCGCGGAGGTATACTTCCTCGTCGAGAAGATCGATTGCCAGTCGATCGTTTGTTCGTACGCACAATCGACGAGCGCATAGACAGAAAGCGAGGCTCGTGCCGGGGTTTGGTGGCTGAAACGAAAGTACAAGGATCGAAAAAATTACGTGTTGCAATTGCGTATGTAATTGGCGGCAGCCTTGCCGAAAATTACATAGCATTAATAGCATCGCGTTAAAGTCGGCCGATTCCTACCGCAGGCCGCAACGGTCGGCTGTCATCGAGCTTCGGGGCCAAGTGTGAGGACTCGCCTTTCTCATATCCAGTCACGGCAAAGTGCGTTCGTCGTATCTGTCCGGACTGCAACTGAGCAGAGAAGGAAAACTTTGGCACTTTTCATCCGGTACCTCATACATCTTTAGTCATCTCATTATCACCTAACGACTAGATAAACCACGCTAATATGAAGGATCTGATGATACTCTGGCATTCTTTATTGGGTCGCAATTACGACCCGGCTAACACCAACTCCGACAACCGAGACAACCTAGGCGATCAAGATAACCCGAGGATCTCGAGCTTTCAAAGAAAATCTTCGGTAATGGTGAATAGGTTTCTCAACATCACTGAACCGCTACACGCTGATGGCAACCAAAAGCGAACAAGAAGTAAGTAATAAGAAACTGAGATCAAGTTTGAGAGATGAATGTCGAAATCTGAAAAGAACTGAGATGTTCGCCAATACAAACGAAGTATAAACGATAATGAACAACGATCTCGAATAAAAATTTGTAAATTCACTCGCGAGCAACGATTAGTTATTTGTCAAAGAATATTTGCTTGTACATCAATGATAAAATAGTCGTAAAAACGGCTAAATTTGTGTTCGTGCATAAAAATTGCAAATATAATCCTTTCTGAGAAAAAGATAAGATCTATAAAAGCCATGCGCTGAATGCGCAAATAAGTTTAAATGGGAAGAATAATAGTGTTTATGACACGTGTTAAACGTGCCAAATATTTTTCCGGTCTTATAATGTATGCGGTGAATCGACAAACCTTTCACACCAAACCTGAATTCTAATTATTATTAATTAATTCCCCTTTTAAAATTCCGAAATGTGCATTTCTTTTTTTATTCCTATTTAAAGTTGCGAAAAATATTGTGTCAATCAGAAATCGAATCTGGAACTTCCCCATTTGCCATATCAATTCTCGATCGCTGAGGCTCCGGCGTATATTTCTCGCAAATGTTTATACGTTATTTATTTTAAATAGTATTTTAGAAGTATGCTAGACGCATAATAATATTTCCTATTTTTAAAGACATAAAAAGATTCGAGCTGGATTTAGCTCTGTTTGTTTCTCAAATATGACTCGACGTATATTCGTAAATTCGAGGCCAAATGCAAAAAAACGATTTGTTCTGTTCGAAGCTTCATAAAGTACATCGATTCGTAAATTCGAGGCCAAATGCAAAAAAACGATTTGTTCTGTTCGAAGCTTCATAAAGTACATCGATTCGTAAATTCGAGGCCAAATGCAAAAAAACGATTTGTTCTGTTCGAAGCTTCATAAAGTACATCGATTCGTAAATTCGAGGCCAAATGCAAAAAAACGATTTGTTCTGTTCGAAGCTTCATAAAGTACGTCGATCTTAAAAATTGACATTATTGTCGATTAAAATTGATCTTGATCCTGCGACAGTTCCAACATACAAAAATCGTTCTTATGATTCAGAGTCTCACTTTTAATTAATATTCCTTCTTTAATCATAAAGAATCGTATCCTTGTTTGCATCGGATCTCGTCGTGACCTTGATTGGTCATTGCCCTAATTTTTATTGTACGAAGATGAAGATCGCGTTTTCGAGGACAATCAGATTGAATTTCATATTAAACGTGTGCGAAATACGTGGCAAATAATCGGACAAGGAAAAAGACAGTATTTAAGCGATAGTTAAATCTTTCTCAATTTAATTCAAACTTATGTTTTATATGAAATTAGTGACAATTTCGGAAAGAGAGAAAAATTCTACGTAAAGCATTCATTGCGCTCATGTTATGACAGAAGGCAGTAATATAAGAATATAAGCATGCGTTTAAGCGCAAATTTGCACCTAGATGTATCACGTGGGAATCACAGGTTATGTTACCGTGATATAGAACGCGCAGAAACGAGAACGCACAAAAACGAGAACGCGTATAAAAGGTGGCCAAAGGATCAGGTTGGCTTCAGTTCTGAGATGTGCGTAATTGCCCAACGGGCAACCAACCGGTCCTAATCATGCGGTCCAGTTTGACAAAAACAAACGACTGAAAAAGAAAACTTACTGAACCGATAGCAGCTGCAGTTCAATTAAGCCGCTGCGCTTAGTCGAGCGCGAGATATTGACTTTCGCCGGATTGCACCACTGAAATCTCGAGAGAAGAATTTCGTACGAATATACACGCCCGCGTAATCGACTGAATCACAGACACGCGCTCGTATCATCGGCAAGTGTGCAGTCTGTAATTTTGAACGTATAGATATAATAACCCTGCATTATAGGGAGCGAAGAAAATTGTACGTTTCTTTATGACTTTAATCATTTTTCTACGACTAACCCAAGTGCGAATTCGCGCGAAGTGAGCAAATGAGATAATGGAAATATATGAGATTTTTCTCGCTCTCAATGCGCTGCCTTTGATCTGAAAATCTCAATTGTAATAATGAGGATGAACGATAACCTCAAAAAACTCACAAATGTTGCGATAACACGTGTCAAAATTTTGTTCACATGAAGATAATTTTCGTTAAACAACAAAATTTTCGAAAACAACCAATCAACTCGCCAGATACTGAATCATGACACTGTCGCGTACGCGTGACTTTGGGCTTTTTGATAATTTTTAATAATTTATATAATCTTGCTTCCATATTTCGCCTTTTACATCATAAAACTATGTGGTGTATATCTATGATTGACAAGTGTATCTTAACTCTCGAGCGAAACAAAGGGAAGTGGAGACAGTCGATCGTTTATGAATCTCAAGCTAATGAACCGTTCAATAGACAAGTCACGTTTCGTATTCGGTTCCTAGTTCGGAACACACGCGTCAAGCCTCAAGAGTAAATCTTGTAACAACTCTACGACTAAAACAAGTTCGAAAAAAACGCAAATTTAAAATCCTTTTAAATTTGCGTTTTTTGTCTTTTAGTTGACTGATTTGCGATATCATGAATATGTATTCTAAAAACAGGTAAATTACAACGAGACTCAGCCGTGTTAAAACTTGTTTACAAAATAACACAGATTGACATATACTTTAATATTCATGATATAACTTGTCGAGATTCTACAAGTTTTAAGTAACACAGATTAAGTCTATAACTGATTTACGATTCGCAAAAATACAAAACAGAACTTATCGATTACAAAATTTTGATGAACAATGGGCAAATTAACAAGAGATCCGTTGCGTTTACTTTTCTTTGAAGACGAATAAAATTCTCGTATGTGGATTTATTTAATTTTATTAATTATATGTCGCAATGTGTCGCGTTAAAGGTATTACAAAGTCGATCATTTTGACACAACTTCTCTTTGTTTCTTTCTACGAAATTTAGAATACATAACGAACATATATATCACTTTTTGCCGAATATTGTCGATATATCGTCCGACATTTCGAAATCCATATAAAAACGATTATTTCATTAGCAAATCAAATTTCACACCTTTTATTATGCTAGCATTCCATTTTGATATACAAATATCTTGTTTTGCAAAATTAGCGAATGTGAATATCCATATAAAAATTGTTTAGGCACAATATGTCACAATGTAGTTCTTATTTACTGCGTCGATTATCCGATTTTAATTAATCGATCAATTTTAATTGTCGACTAAAAAATAATTCCCCAAGATACAGTTATCTAATATTTAGCGATGACGTTCTCGGCCAGAAATTTATATAATCTTGTTATGGATAGAAATTCCCCAATCTTAAATCTTCCAAGATTGCTCTGTGTATATTAAAATTCCTGACATATTTCTATCTTTATCTCATAAAACCATACATATGGATACATTCATTTATATAACACAGAATTCGGGTAAATGTAGATTTATTTTATATAAATATGTAAATTAATAATTATAATATTTAATTATTTGCACCGTGCGCGCGTGATCTATACGAAAAAAAACATTTCTTTGTTAATGTAATAGATAACATACAATAATTTTCCGTTATCTGCTCCCAGATAACGGTTATCAAATGAAAAACTCAGTTGTAGGAACAGAAAGATTCCTGTAGATGATTTCTACTCATTCAATTGCTCTGAGTTACCTCAACTAAATTTTAATGCAGCCGAATGTTCAGGTAAAATGTTTTCAGTCACAGTGACAAAGTGATAGAGAACGGTATTGTTTCTTTCCATGTACTCTTGCGCTAAGTAAATAAAGACGGCATCTCATGTAGATGTAATGTCATGTCACGCAGAGATTCGCCGATTTATTATTATATAATCGACAGGAACAGCTATTATCACGCATCATTATAATTATATCACAGATAAACCCAAACGACAGGAAGACGCGTATCGGTTTCGAATATAAAACCGTTTGGCCAATAAGCCGATTAATCACGTCTGATTTATTTCGAGGTATACTTCGCACTCATCGTACGTATACACTCGCGAAAAGAAAACCAATTAAAATAAATGTGAACATGTAAACGATTTACGGGCCTACCCGTGTGTGAAAGTAAAAGCCGGTCAAAAGCGTGCCGCTTAAGCGTGACACATTCTTTTGCGCACATCGCAGTCAAATAAATAAAAGTCGACTCATTCCAGAATTTCCATATGACAGTGGTGAATGGAAGCGTCGCAAACGTCCTTCAACGCAAAAAACTGGTAGGCAATAAAAAACAATGACGTAGATCAAGATAAGTAAAATAGCAGTTGGACGCATAAGTCTTTAGGCCTTCAAACTTTATAGACTTACCGGAAATATCATCATTGTCTTTCCTCTCGCAACCGTCATTAAAGTAACATGGAACATTTCCACGCAAACACGCAAATTTCTTTCGCGTGAGTAATGATCATTTGTTATCGTTTAAGAGGGAAGTGAATGTTAACACTTTGACAGCCGCTGTCATATATGATTTTATTCTGCCAGCAGCTATTACGTTACAAATTAATCAACAGACGTGAGTTTACGTCGCAAACATTGCAAGAAATAAAAGTAGATATCAATCAATTTTCTTTTTCTTTCTTTTTCGTGAAATTCCATCGCTAAATACTATCGTCAAAGCACACGTACGATACAAATTTTACTAAAAAAGAAACAAACAAAGAGATGATCTATGAAGAGCTATGAAACTATGAAGAAGAGATCTATGAAGATGATTTGTCTTCATAGATGTTATCTAAACAAGTTCTCGAAATTTATCAGTGACATTTATCCGACAATTTGTTTGAAATAAGTGCAGTATTAAATATAGATAGCTATTTAAGCGTAAAATTTGTATTTGTATGCGTGTTTTAGCAATAGTATTTACCAATGATATTTCGCGAGCGCATTTAAAGCTTAGCAGATGCCACAACATATGATACTTGCTACAAAACTATCGTTAAAGTCGATTGTCGTATGTCGCAAGAGTAGTTTGAAAATACGCGTGGC